ATATGCTCAATTGCAATGATATCCATAAAGAAAACAAACAGAGGAGGAGATTTTCTCCAGCTTTTCTCCTGGTGGTATTTCTAACTGTCTGAACTTGGACACAAAGAATTCTGCAAGCAAGTATTTGCTTAACTTTTGCTATTTCTGCTTTCAGATATATGGCCTTGTTACTACATTTTTTGAGGAGAAATCAAGAAAACCAGAGCAGAGCAGTGGGTTCTGCTGACCAGGCTTGATGCATTACTATCTACTCTGGGATAGCAGTATTGGTCTTACAGCAGCTGTCAGGTCTCCTTTCCTCTCCGTTCTCTGAGTATAGTGCTATATTTGTTTCCAGCTCCCCGTTGTCCACCACCATGTCACTGGATCCCAGTCCTTGGAGCTGCAGAGGTGGAGCCTTGGACTCCGTGTCCCCCTGATATTTGGTGATCTCCTGAGGATAACCAAACCTACAAGACTTGTCAGACCGTGGTGTACAAACCGATGAAATGATGCCTCAAAAAAAATGTGGGCCTTCCTTTACACTAAAGAAGCTGCTCTGGCTTATCCACCACCTTTGGACTAAGTGGAAACAACCCCTGGCTGTGACCTGTACCTTCCCATACAATGTCACGATCTTCTGCATGTGCCAGCTTGCTTGCTTATCAGGGCAGTCTTTCTCTTTATGCAGGACAGCTCCTTGCATTTTCTACAGGCTGCTCACTGGGAAAATAGGACATCCTGAATGAAGAGAATCCAACCACTCCTAAACCTGTGTGCCTCTGGCTCACTTCTTTCTTCATCCTCTCTTTCTCCCTCCCTCCTTGTTTCCAGCTCATAATCCTTCTCTCTTACCTTTGGTAGAAGTACTACTACTACTACTACTACTACTACTTTGGTAGAATTACTAAAACTCAAGAGCAAAGGAGATGTATCAGCATCCCAAAGTCACTGCATGCTAGATGGAGGGTTTTGTGAGGGGTATTTGACATTTGTGAGAGTGTACATGCAGATATACTGAGACCAAAAGAACTGCTTGCCTCTTGCCCTGGTGGAGCAGGGCTCTGCCAGACATGAGGCTGGCTGCCATGTTAGCTTGTTGTGTCCTTTTGCACTGGGCTGCAAATGGGAGAGCTAGAGCATAACAGCAAGGTCCACTTGCTTCGTTACCACTGCAAGGTGTAGTGCTGAGGCTGTTTTTGTGACCAGCACTGTAAGGATTCCTGGGGCACAGGGAGAGGTCTTAATGTATGGTTAATTAGTTGTCACATGGGCTGACTGATTGCCTATCCATTAAATCTTCTGTTGATGGACTTGCAACATGTATTACTCATCTGTAAAATGGTTATATCAGCTATAAATCACTTAAGATATGTTATGATTCGTGTATGAACCTATTCTTTAAAGTGGGATTGATCTTCATGCCCTGTATGGTCTGCCCAGGGAGGTGGTGGAGTCACCGTCCCTGGCAGGGTTCAAGAGGTGTCTGGATGAGGAGCTACAAGATATGGTTTAGAGGTTTGTGATAGCAATAGTAGCGGGAGGACGGTTGGACTAGATGATCTTGCAGCTCATTTCCAATCTTACGATTGTATGATTCTATGAAATTAGGAAGCACAGATATAAGGATTGGGGGGGCATTCCTCCATTGACCCATGGAGGACCATGAAGTCCCTCTATTGTGTGACCCTGCAAAATCCTCATTTACACTGCAAATTACAGCAGCAAGTAGCTGCTGCAGACACAGCTTTCTCTTCATCCTCAGACATTTGCTTCGACAACTGTAGGACAGTCCTTCATTTTCTGCCTCTTCTCTTCAGGTAGAAGGATGTGAAGTGGGGCAAATAGTTTTCTGTTGTTGTTATTCTTTCATCATATCCTGAATGTGCTCTTTGCATGGGTAAACTGAACATCCACACAGATTAATAACTCCGTTTTCTCTCCTTTGTGTGATTCTCAAACCTCTTAAATAGCATTTTCAACCCATTGTGCCCCAAACCTCATGACAAGGCAGCAGTTTCCCTGCTGCTTCCTGCTCTTCCTGGAATATGGGGCCCAGCTCTGCATCTTCTGAAGCCTGAGATGTTGCACCCCCTTTTTCCGCATGAGCTGTTTCTGTGTCCTCTTACACACATCAGCTTTGTGCCCCTGTGCCTTGACTGTCATCACCTCCCTGCGTGTGACCCATTGTGTGGGTCCCACAAGCCAGTATTCAGTGGAGGGATTACATGCAACAGCGGTCTCCATGTGGTTTCAGTTTGTGGTCAGATGTATTTTGACCCCGGCCCCCTCCAATGTTGGTACTTCTAGATGAATCCCACCCACTCCAGCACAGGTCTTGGGAGTTAATCATGCCCTTTAACAGGTCTGTTGTGAATGCAGGCTCATTATTTACTGTGAACATGACCTTGCATGTCCCCTGCATGACAAGACCCTCTTAACAGCATCAATTGAAGCAGCTCTGAGGGAAATCCTGAGGATAGTTAAAACAAATGAGATTTAAAGGCAGGCACTTCCAGCCACAAAAGTGTTTATAAACTCAGTCCATCCAAACAACTAGAAAATGTCACCAGGCTCTGCAAACACTCCCTGTTTCTTGCTGCAGGGAAACTGGAGCTTTTTCCATTTTCAGAGTGATGCTGTTGGAGCTGTCGTAGGATTTGAGTGGATTTCATTTATGTGCCATCCCTGAAGGCACTCACGGCCAGGCTGGATGGGGCCCTGGCGAACTGAGCTGGTGGCTGGCAGCCCTGCCAACAGCAGGAGATTGGAATTGGGTGGGCTTTACATTCCCTTCCAACCCAAGCCATTCTATGGTTTTATAATTAACTCTGCGGAGCACTAATGAAGTCAAAAGACATAAGGGAGGCAGGGCCTCCTATGTGCAATAGTGCAATCGTACTGCAGCTTTCGCTCCCTTTGCTCATCTTCAGCAAAGGGAGATGCTCCAGTATTTGTAGTGTATTGATTACCATCGGTAGCATCTACAGACTCTCCATGAACATTAACAGCCAAAACTAGGTCAGATTTAAAAGCCAAATATGGGCTCTGAAGCACAAATACAGCAAGAGAGATGAGTTGTTCCCAGTAATGATGCTATAAACAAAAGTAAAAGGCTGGCATTCTGTTTGTTTAATGGCATCAAGCTGATCAGGTATTACACCACAGCTGTGTTTTGCTTTTAAATGCTAGAACGAAGTTTACATGCGGAGACTGGACAATGAGTTGAAGGCTGAGCTTGGCAGGGAGAATGTAACTGCAAGCATAGCTAAATAGCACATTTTTTTCCTTTTATGATTCTGATACATTGTAATAGCCCTTGTCCACACAGAATGAGAGCTGCTCCCCTGAACTTGCAGGCTGAATAGCTAATGTAGAGCAGGCCATGATCTCCATTTTGTAGATAGGGATGCATTAATAACAGAATATTGACAGGTGTTATGTCTGAGTCTTTCCCACAGCTGTGCACCAGACTAACACTGTGATCTTGCATCCTGCCTTAGGTAAAAACGATTATTTATTTAAAAGAGAGTCTGGCCAACTTGTATTTGCTGTGTATCTATTTGAGCAGTGGACGTGGTGGCAGTTGATATATCCAGGCAGTCCTAACCTCCTTGCTGGATTGTGCACCCTTTTGAAGAAGCATGTGCAGCACTACGAGTATCCAACCCAGCAAGATGAGATTCCCTTGTCAGTATGTAGCTGATACGGGAGTTACAGCTGTTCATCAAGGTGTTGGTGGGAGATGCCTGACTTTCTGGGAACCCAGATAAAGCAATGCAGTATTGAGATCACTGGGGAAGGTTTCAAGCCTTCCCTCCTCTGTAGGCCTCTGTAGCGCAGAGTGGCAGGATCAGCTCCCTTGACATGCTGGTCTTAGCTAGAAAGAAACTGCAGACTGTTCTGCTCCAGAAGCTTTTTACTACCTTTCATGAAACTTGCATTACTGTAATTTCCTGTTGTCCCCATTTATACAGGTAAACAAGATAAGATCCAGGCTCAAAACTTCATCTGCAGGGTAGAATGGACCATGAATGACTATTGTGTGTTGTGGACTGTCTTGTCATGTTTCTTAAGGCATAAGCTTCTTTTAGGGCGGTGTAACTAGTTTCTGAGATTCTTATCGACCCAGCTGTAATGTTAAAAAAGAAAACATACTTCCTTGGGTCAGAAATGTTAACTATTCTGATGGGCTGGGCATGGGCTGATTCACTGCTGAGGGCACTGTCCAAGCCAGTGCCAATAAAAGCAGGAAGCAGTCTGCTCAAACCTATAAACTGAAGGCTTGTATCCTCGATGCAGTGCTGACAAACCATTTCTTCTTCTTGGTGCCTGAGGAAGGTGACAATAAAGCCACAGATAAGCACTAACTGCCGTTTGCAAGGTAGTCAATAAATTGCCATCAGACTTTCCCTTCTGTTTAACTTTTATTAAAAGAGGTGCTAAGGTACTGTACTGTATGCAGTACATCATATTTATTACCAAAATTAACAAATATACAAAACTTATACATGTAATTTTCTTACATCCATTTATTGGTCTATAATACTGCATTTGTTCAAGTAGGTTATCTACAGTATGTAAACATCCCTTGGATTGACCTCACACAGATTAGGAAAGCCCATCTAACCCATGTAGTTACCAAATATAGCTTTTTCTTTTTTTAAATTTATTTGGCTTTCATTGGTAGAATCTAATCTTCACATTTGGCACATGGAAGAGACATCTACAGTGCAAAAGAGGCAGATCTTCTGTTTTTGTTCTGAGCAGTTTAGCAGTGTCATGGTTTTAAAGAGCCGGGAGGAGAATAAATTTACACAAACTCAATAGGAGATGGATTAGTATTAATGTCAATGACTCATGTCAGTCATTAAACTAGAGCAGAAAGTCAAAGCCTCTTCCCCAGCTCTCTCAGCCAGGTGAAAAAAAAAAATCTCAGCCTTCCTTGTAAAGATTTAGGAAAGGACTCTGTTAGCAACAGAGAAAGGAGGTTTAGTTTACAAAGAGCCCTCTGAGATTCCAGTTTCAATTTTCTGCTTTGTGTTTTTTTTCTCTTGTTAGCAAGCATGTCTTTTTTATTTATTTTTTCTCCCATTGTAATGGGGGAAAATAACCAATGAGGAACCAGTCTTCTGTGAGTTGGAGATTACAATTGGTGTTTGCTGGTCTTTGAACCCAGACATACAGAGCTCAGTAAGCTGCCATGTATGAGAGAGAGAAAGAGGGAGGGAGAGAGTAATGTCATTATATTCCAGGGGTGGAGCTTTCCAATTTTTCTGTAGAAAAACAGAAAAACTTTCTTCCTTCTGCTTCTCACTGTTTCAAAATATGACTTAATTTAACCAAGTAAAGCTGATCCATAGAGACCTTCATTCACGCTCTTCTTCCCATTCTCATTGGAGCACGGTATTGCTATTTTAGGAGGCCTCACCCATGTCCATGGAAGCATCTAATGAGAATGGATCTAATTGGATGCCACTTCACACGGAAACCCCTCTGCAATTCCTTGTCTGTTACCATAGGGCCCCACTGCTGTCCGTGGCACCGTACATCTCGGCCAGCTTTTTGAAGCGCGGGCCCCAGTCCGTCAGGTAATCGTAGCTCTGGTCTGAGTCTGTGGTCACCGACTGTAGGGAGCTGAGTGACTCTGCCACCGAGCCGTTCCCTTCAAACATATATGTCTGGAGGGAGTCGAAGGGAGGAGCCCAGAGGTCCATGTCAGCCTCATACAGCTTGGCAAGCACGTAATTGTGGACGTTGTTGTCCATGATGCATGCCTGAGGCACGTATCTGGAGAGGCTCTCTATTTCAGGGAGCATGTCCTGCCTGTTTTTCACCACAAGCTGGGCCTCCCGTGGGTTCCACATGGCGGCGATATCGAAGGCCTCAGTGTCCTCCTCCCCACCGCCTTCATCGTCGTACCTGACGATGTTCTCATGGATGTTCTCCTCCTCGTCTATGATGTATGGCTGCTTCCGCTGGCGCCGCATGGAGAGGATGAGGAGCACCAGCACTGTGGGAGGCAACCAAAACATGGGGCCATCAGTAAGAGGGCAGATCTTGCAAAGTCTTTATGCCTGAGGCAGCCCCCCGAATATAAAGAGCTGTGATGTTTGCAGGTGGAGGGATGCAGATATCTGCCTGAGATCAGTGTCTCGAGGTCCTGCCTATCTGTCCCTTAGCTTACCTTAAGTCTTAACTTTTGGTCACAAGTATAGGGACAACATTTGGGACAAGACTAGCCAGTAGTGTTTGCAGTGTGGTACTTGAGATACTTTAAAGGTAGCCAGATCAAGCATTAGTAACTACTTATCTGCAGCAGCTTCACAAAGATGTGATTGTTTTTTTTTTTTTCCCTGCTTTGTAGGTGGATTTGCAGCCTGCTTTAGGAAAGCCTCTTGGTCTGGGTGCTGCACGTGACATAAGTGGGGGAATGGTAAGCCCATGATGGAAGATTCACCATGGTAGTATGTCTCCCTACATGGCAAATGGCTGAGGTAGCTCCTTCATCTGCTCCTAAGCATTTCTGTGTTTATCTGAAAAATGCTGCTTTGGGCTGAGTAGAATTACTGTCAGTTGCTCAGCAATACTGAGATGCAGATGATTCTTAGCATACACAGGCACCAAGAGGTCTGCACTGCAGAAAATGTGCTGTCACCTGGTGACTGTATCTTCAGCTAGAACTCAGCAAGGGTTTTGAACGCTGAAAGTTTGGATTGAGGCATCTAGACTTTATAGAGATAGAATTTAAAGTTTTTTGTTGTTTTTACTACTCTACTGATCCTCAGACTGAGCCTCTGAAACTTCAGGGAAAATGTGTTTTGAATTAATATCTCACAACTCAAGAGTTTGAACAAGGGAACAGAAGTTCTTTTAATACTCAAGGCTAACAGGGGAAATAGAAGGTCTGGGCAAAAAACCTCAACCAACCAAACAAAAAAAATGAAATATGTTTGTGTAGAGAGAACACATGGAAGATGCTCAGTTTTCTACTTCCTCCTGACGTACTTCTTCTCATATAGCAGGGCCATATGAGACATCCTGGCACAACGGGGATCTGCCAGAATATTTGCAGGCCGTATTATTTCCCCCATTCCTATACCCCTGTCTGAAGCAATATGGGGCCGAATGCGCCTGTTCCATGTTTTGGCCCTTTATGTGCACGTGTGTGTCCACACGTAATATATATACATGCACGTGTGTGCACATGCATTTGTATCCTTCATCTTTAGTAGGTTAGCAACCCCCTGGCCAGGACAGAAGAGCTCATCCTCCCAAGAAGCAGATAAGGCTTTACCTAGCAGGACAAATATGCAGGCGAGGATTGCAATGAGTGCTCCTCTGCTCAGGCTGACAGGGAGGACGTAGGCCTCAGCATTGCAGGACATCACCATGCCGCCTTCGTCACAGCTGCACACGTGCACAGTCAGCGTGCCTGTGCTGCTCAGCACAGGGCGGCCGTTGTCACTGATCAGGATCGGGAGGTAAAAGATGTTCTGCTCGTGCTGTCTGAAGCCAGAGCGCCTCGTCAAAATCCATGCCGTGTTGTCTGTGGGTTGGAAATAAATGGAGAGAAAAGAAGAACAAATATATTCATCAGAAAAGGAGGTCTAAAAAAAAATCAGCCCTAGACCCACATCCATTTGTCTTCCCTTTTTTTTTCTTTATCCTTTTTTAAAAAACAGTTTGTCACTGATCAGCATTTTGCCTCTGCCTCTCATATTTCAATATCTTCCGAGGCCATAGCTCAAAACCTGCAAGGCATGCACACCTTACAAGTTGCTTTCACCCTTTCTGACATAAAGTGCCCAGAGCAAACTCACAGCCTTCAGTTTTAGCTAGAAGAGCTCTCAGAAGGCAGGATGGAAATGAATAGTTGAAGGAGGCTTGTTATCCCTGTTTGTTCTTGCTCAGCACCTTTTCTAGACATGGCTCTTAAGAGCTGCCACCATTTTGTAGATGCTGGTGTATGACCCTTGCAGACATGTTAAGGTTGTCTTTATGGTTTTTGATATGAGGCATGGCCATCTGCTTGAGGCAACAAGAAGACAGGGAACAAAGGAACAAAAGACAGCAAAAATGACAGCTGGTTATCCTAAAGAGCAGTGAGTCGAAAATTTTGCAACAAAACATTTTTTCAGTGAAATATGTGCAATTTCATCAGAACTTTTGCCATTGGAAAAAGTCAGAGTACTTTGTCGTCATTGTCAAAATTGTGCTGCTTTAATTTGACCATTCTGCCACCTGATTTTTATTAGAACTTGAAACAAAATGGGTTGAAACAATGCTGCAGAAACAAAGGAGTAAGAGAGTGACCTAAGAGGAGATTGCCTTTAATTTTCATGTCGAGGGAAATTCCTTCATCTGGCGCTTTCTCTCCATACATATATATATATGTATGTATACGTATATATGTATATATAAGAACAGAGCTATGTATATATATTTAATGTCAGGATTTCCAATGGCTTCTGAATTCCTGTTTACCTTCTCCCCTAAATTCCTCAAACTGTGCACTGAGTTTCCTAGTAAGAAGGAGAGTGGATTCAGGACTTTGTTCTCCTCAAGTCTTATCTCAGAAATGTCATGGCAAATTCTCTGGAGATCAGTGTATTTTGCCTGTACTGACTTTTAAGCTTTGTGGCCTCAGAGACTTTGGGAAAGAGCAAGGCTGAATAGAATGTCTCCAATATGATTTGGCCCATCAGGGCGTCTAAAAGAACCTGCAGGAAAGTTGGCACATCTTATAAATGTGTTTGCAAATCCTGAGCCGGCAAAGATAGGTGGAGAACAAAGGATTTTTTTTCTCTTTTTGGCAGACCTACAAACCCTGACCATGCACAGCGTTGCTGTGAGATTGTGGGGATTTGGGCTTCATGCAGTTTCTTTTACTACTTAGTTTTGTTTCCTGTTCCCTGGGTTCAAAAGAGGCTGTGGTCTGGCTATCTGCATATTTAGGTTGCTTCCAGCATACATGTACTGTGCTTGGAAATGCAGGATGTCAATCAGCTGGTCCGTGCTGGGTTGGCACAATGGAGCTGGCTGCCTGGAACCAGCCAGTAATGTAATCACAAGTAAACTACGAAAAAAAACACATGATACCAACAACTGATTGTTTAATTTTCACCCTTATGATTCTGTGATTATTTCCATGTCAACTCACTGCTAAAATTAAAATCTTTGGTCATTTTGTTCAGTGTGGAGACTGATTGACATGCAGGTTAATCAGCGATATCAGAAATTATTTGATGGTCTTTAGGAGTGAGATTATGAGCTTTATATACAGCCAGCTTTGGAATGTATGCAATTCAAGCTGGACTCTTTATGCTTCCCTACAAGACTTAAACTATGCTGCAAGTTCCATATTTTGTGCTGCGAAGCTCTCAACAGCAGGCAGCACTGGTGTATGCAAGTACTGAGGGTCAGGCTCCACAGTTATAAAAACAATCTCAGTTTCCATAGTTTTTAAAAGCAATTTCAGGATCTTTTATGCCTTATACATCCATGACATTTCAAGCTTTTGCTCTGAAAGTGTAAAATACTGAAGTGCACCTGTGCCTGTATGTAAGTAACAAAACTGTAGCATCTCCTTAAATCACGGGATCCCAAGAGCTGGGGCTTTGAAAAGAACAACCAAATAGCACCAGATGCAGGATGAAATCCCCCAGGTTGCTTAAAATGGATGATGTTTCAGCTTTTGCTGATTTTACCATCCTTCAATAGGCTGTGCTGCTCTGAACAAGTGCAGCAGGTGTGACAGATGCAGACATATTTTCAGCATCATGTCCTAAGACCCAGCAGAGATCAGCACCCTACAGCCACTACAGCTCCTGAACAAGGGCTCCCCACTGTGAGCCCCACTCTCCTTTCTCTCCTGGGACACACACAAGTGCTTTCACTTCTTCTTCAGGCTATGTGCCCTTCAGTACATCCTCCTCAGCTATCAATACCACATCTTTTCATTATTTGGCCTGTTGTGGCATGAGAAAAAGCAACCCAAAGGGCAGAAGATGACAAAACGTCTGGATTTATATTGCACTTCAGTCATTTAACAGTGCAGTGGTTTGGTTGCCTTTCTCTTTCCTGGGTGAAAGACTCACGCTGTTTAAACTGGCCAGTAACAGAAGTCATAAATTCCACTCAGGTGACAGCAAACCTTCATTTTATGTGAAACTGCTCTTTGTGAAGGAAAAAGACTTCATTATTCTGGAGCTGGCCATACTTTGCCCGTAGAAGAAATCACAGGCAGTGATTCAAGTTGTGCAAATACATATAAGTTTATATATGTATATATATATTTTTTTTCCAGCTAAAAACAAGTTTCGGTAATCAAATATTGAAGGGTATATATAAATTTATATATGTACATAACTTTGCTGTGATGTGCTGATCCTATCACATAGGTCCTAAATATTCTTGGCCATATGGTTCCCTTGGTGTCTGTCAGCATTATGTTTCAGCCCTTTTGCTTTGTTTTGCTCTGTACTAGACAAGCATCTACATAAATAATCCCTAAGGAATCACTGTACCTGTTACACCACAATGACAATAGGCTGGTGCCAGAGCTTGTTGTGTGATTCATCAGAAGCCAACGCCATCTGATGTGCTACTGCACTGCAAAGGACATGATAGAATGTGAAGCAGCATGGCAGAAATTGGAATGCACTATTTTCTTCCAAATTTGATATCTGCTAAGTCCTAGCCATCGACACAACAAGGCCTGGGTGAACATGATAGCCTTATTATATTAAAAATAAATTAATTTAAAAAGCACAATAAGAATGCACAGTACTTTTGCATCCAGCTTTCAGTACAGCATCGCTGTCTTGCAGATTACTGATGATATTCAGTTAGCTACCACACTGAGCAGAGGCATTGTAGAGCACAATGTGTGATCCTGCACCCCTGAGATTGGTGCGAACGTGAGAACTATCCTTCTGGCCATTCTGACTGGTGTGCTTGTGAGAGCAAGACTTAGAGCCTCTCCTCCCTGACATTTTAATTGAAATGCAAGAGAGAGGACTTTCAGGGACTTCCACTGATGGTCCTGATGGTGGTATGACACCGATGCCTGCACCCATCCAAGTGACTACTCTCTTCATTAATTCCTGTTACCCTCAAATGGAGGGCAGCAGACAAAAGCCAAGAGGAGACCAGCTCAAAGTTTAGTCTGGATATTTGGTAAGCTTATTTTGTTGCTCATCCCATTCTCACAGCAAGCCTCTTTTACCAACCCTTTCCCAACACTATCTTACCCAGATTTAGAAGTGGGACAAAGACAGCCCACTGATGCCCTCTAACACTAACAAAAGAGAAGGGAGAACTCAGCTCAGTTCTCTGCTTCATCACATATTTCCTATATGTCCTTGAGAAGTAATTCAGGCCCTAATTTTTGCAGATACTTGCAAGTCTATTGCCCACTGATTTTACCAGACTCAAAGGGAACCAGGCATGTAAGTAGATTAATTTCTGCTCACCCCAGATCCCTGTCTACAAAGTGAAGACAATAGGATTTCTCTAGCTGCCAAAGCTAGGGGGAGAATGAATAGCCTAAAGTAGTTCTCAGAGACTGTAATAACAAGGGTCAAAGAAATATGTAAAGCAGCTCATCAGAATGCAAACTGTGATCTGTTTGTTACTCAAGTTTTCATTGCTGCGAAGATGGCTTCACGTCTCGCAGTTTTTCTTACTACTGTATGGCACAACCAAGTAATTTGCACAACTGCTGATCTGAACAGCGTCTTCCCAAAGCCAGGAAAGCGTTGCTGTCTCATGGTTACACACAGAGGCTGCAACGAGCAAGGCAGGTTCCATTCCTCGTCTTTCCATCCTGGGGCATGCAGTATATCTTTGCCTTCGGTGACTAAATCTTACAATTTATGTAGTACTTAGTGGTCCCTAGATGAAAATATAAATTATTGGTACTGAAACAACTACTGCACTCCAAATTGCCAAGGCAGTAAATTAACCCTTAATGTGTATATTTCAAATAGTCAGTGGTATGATACTTCACATTTTTATTTCAGATTTGTAACCAACAGTACCCTATGCTTCTCATGATATGTAGCTCTGGAAAACTGGTATTTTGCAGAAAGCAGAAGGCATGGCCATTCAGTCACTGCTGTCACTATAAATTACAGCATGTATGGCCTTAGACAGAAAAAATGCATCTGATGGTGGGAATTACGTGTTTCCTTTTTTAGAACAATGCCTTCAGGACAGAATGAGCCTAGACTGCCAAATGTTTTAGCAATGGTTGTGTTTTATCTTCTAATTTATTTTGGCAATATATGTTCAAAAGTTAAAAAAAAAAGAGACAGAGAATGAGAGATAAAAACACAAGAAATTGTGTGGTGAGTCTTCGGGGACTCTAAAGGATAAAATGTTTTTGGGCTGTAAAAGCAATAGCATGCTGTGAAGGAGAACTCAAGGCTCTGCAAGTAGCATCATTTAAGATATATTTGGTTAGTGATGGAAGAAGTTTGTTTATTAGCCATTAAGTTACTCTTTCACATGCCTGCAAGAGGCATAGATGGGGGCTTATGGAAACAAGCGTCACAAGTAGGCATGTGTGCTCATGTGGGAGTAGGATCAGCACTATGCCTGGAAACAGGTCACGGATACTGCAGGTACCTGTATCCCCTTTTCTAATAGAATTCTTTGCTGGTTTGTAGTACGTTACACGCTCCTACTGACACCACATCAACTTTTGGTGCTCTGCACTGGATTATTCAAGGTCATCTTTCTTTTCTGCTGAAGGCAGCTGTAGACCTCACTTCTGCACCCATTTGCCCACAAAGGTCCTCTATCAGCTAGAGTCGTATGAACGCATGCTCACAACAGAGCTTTCCTTCAGGCTCCAAAACCACCAAAACTTCCCTAAAATAAGTGAATTCCACTGGTGAGGATACACAAATGCCAGCCCTTTGCCACGAGTCTCCCCACTGGTATTTCAGTTTCTGCTGAAACCTTTTACATAGACATTTAGCTGCATTTCAAATTATTCCCTAAGGCCTGGCATCTCTCCCCCACCTCCCTGCCTTTCCTAGGCAATAAGTGAGGGTATGCATAGAGGAAGAAAAAAAAGTGCTTGGGGAAAAAGATGGGAACAATATGAGAAACTTCCATTTCAGTGCCTGGAAGAAAACAAGAAGAGTACAAAAAAGAGCAATGTAATTCCCTTCAGATTTGTATCCTCCTTTGAGTTTCTAGCCTACCTTTAAGCATCTCCTTTTCAACGAATGCAATTTCCACCCTAGTAATCCAAGATGCCTGCAGCCTGACCACAAGACCCAAATTTGCACAAAACAGTGACACATTTCCTCTAAGAAGAAAAGGGGGGCCTATTACTAGAGAATACTTATAGAGAGGAAAATATCATATAACCTTCAAATGTATTAAGAAATATGTCATTTTACCATTGCCTTTAAGGAGCAGGTGTCACTTGGTATTATCTGAAATGGCAGTCTTATCACACACTGTAAGGCACAAACTCTCGAGCCCAACTCGGACATTAGAAATTAGAGTAGCTAACTGTCCACGTCTGCTCTGATTACCTTGATTGTCCCTCAGAGTAAAGTTGGGGTTGTTGGCTGCCTCTGGAGCCAGGCTGTAGTAGAAGTGCTGACCCTCCTGTGGGTCATCCCGGTCAATGGCGCTCACTGTCTGGATCAGCTGCACAATACGAGAACAAAGCAGAAGCAGGTGAGAAGCTAAAGATGCCTCACGTAAATAAATAAACAATAAATACAATATATATAATTTATATATGTAAATATAAGCAACCTGGGATAAAACTGCCTTGCAGGTTTCATTTTATTTTGCTATCACTCTGCAAATCACTTTTAAACGAAGGAGGAGATAATTTGGTTCAAATAACACTTTTCCCCCATGTGTCTATCTTTTGTCATACCTTTCCTTTTGAGAACCCAGGGCGTTCAGAAAATACACATGCTTTAGAGAGTTTGTAAGAAAGCCCATACATATTTTCAGCTTCATTTTGCAGGCAGAAAAATACTTGAGGTTGGTTCCTTTTATCGTTAAGCTCTTCCAAAAAGTCAGTGGAAAACAAAGAGAAAATGCAACCACGTGGATGCTTTGTATGAGCAACAAATAAAACAAAGGAAAGAAACTAAGACAATAATAAATCCAAAAAGAGGTTTGTCAACTCACAGAGGTTTAAAATCGTGGAACTATTAAGGTTGGCAAAGACCACTAAGATCATCTAATCCAACTACTAACCCACCCCACCATGCCCTGTGATTCCTATTCACCTATTCACCTATTCCTCAGTGATACATCCACATGTTTCTTGAACACCTCCAGGGCAATGACTCCATCATCTCCCTGGGCAGCCTGTGCCAGTGTCTTATCCCTCTTCCGGAAAAGAAGTTTTCCTAATATCCAACCTGACAGTCCTTTCAAAACCTGCAAAATGTCTAGGCAATGATTTTTATTCCTTATGTTCTTTATAAAGTTAATAGGATTAAATTATCCTGTATAAGATTTTTAGTGAGCTGGTTGCTCCAGCAGTGAATAACTATTTCATTCTGCTTCACAGCAAGCTGGGAGGAGCCCAACTGAATGAGCAGTGATATTGCTACTGTAATTTTTTCTTCATAAATAATCAGTTGTGCATCTGTGTGCTTACACTATGCTTGTCAGCCATGCATTTAGAGACACAGGTCCCCACTGTGGCAGTGAAACAGCAGGTTGCATCCCACCAGCAATCAGCAGCACAAATTGCAGTACCAACAGTGAGTGTGAGCTCCTGTCCATGTGTGATACAGGCAGACCACGTTCAAGGGGCTTTGCAAAGGGCTGAAGCAAATTGGTATTACTGTTTGCTTGGAGATGTGGGTTCACAGTGTGCAGAACTGGGAGTCCTGTTTTAACTATGATTCTCTGTAATCTCCAGTTCACAGCAGAATGGACTCAGTTTGCCACCCTTTGAAGTCGATGCAGCATATTGTGTCCAGCTCCCATAAGTCGAGGTGATTAAGGCTCTTATAAATAGGGTCTTTTACAAGTAAGCCTTGCTGGTCATACACAGGCTGAACTGACTCCGTGGCATTTCTTATAACACTTGTCCTCTCTTTATTGCTGCTACAGGACACACTGGCTGCTTGCCTGCTGGCACCTGCCCAAGGGCAGGCTTTATTTCAGCAGTGAAATGTACTGTGCAGTGAGTTTGGAAACTACTGTTGGAGAGAAAATGGTGTTCTATATGATGCACACATCATTGTGATGTGCTTGCCCTTAGAAAGCAGCGCAGGCAACTGCTCACGAGAGCTCAGGTACAATGTTCAGTTAGGCAAGCTCTGTTCTTTGCGCTCATCCTGTCTGATGGGCTTTCTTACAGCCTTACCTCCTGACAGCCCCCAGTATCCCCAGCATTTCTCACCTGTCCTGCTTTGGCATTTTCACAAACAAAAGCTTCGTAGAACCTGGCAAACTCTGGCGCGTTGTCGTTCACATCCAGGACTTTCACCGTGACGGAGACACTGCCCACCTGTGAGGGGTTGTCTGGAAGGAGGGGGGACAATATGAGGAAAGGCAAAATGTGGCAAGGGAAAGGGCTAGCTCCCCACTCTGCTGATGAGCTACAGCAGCCTTTTTACTATTGATTCCCACTAAATTGCTTTTTTTTTCATCAGAGACTGCGGTCACTTGCTTGTTGTATGACTCAGAGTGAAGCAGCAAATGCTACACTATCTATCCTGGCTTTCCATCTGGTCACATCATTTTCAAATGCCTTTAGATACAAAAGGCTTCAACTCAGTTCAGTCAAAGGGGACTATTTCTATAGTAAAAGTTTTAGACAGTGCCCTGCAGTCACAGCTTTGGCTAGGAAATGCTGCTCGTTGAGCCTCTATACCAGTAGCATGAGTTATGCTGAGGCTGTTTTTAAGGACAGGCTTTTTACTTGGAGCTTGTTGGAAACAGTACTTCTGCATTTCAGGTATCTTTCTCCTCAGAATTTATATTCCTTGAACATAAAAATATTGTGGCAAGTTTTTTTTGCTACTTTGTAAAGGGGGTTAAAATGCAATAACACATGAAATGGTACAGAAAAGCTTTCACTGAGGCTTAAAATTGCAATGAAAATTTCACATTCTGGATGACATCATTTGTGATATTTCTGTCCACTGGTTCATTAGCTCTTTTGCCCAGTATATTCAGACATCATTTCACATCTCTTCACAGTTTCCAAACTCGGTATCCACAGAGTACGTTTTATTTTACTGTGTTTTTCTGCCCCAGAACAACTTTTTCCCCTCATTAAAAGATAAAATGAAACTCTAAGAGGAAGGAGAAAAAGAAAATCATAATTAGGAGGTAAGAAAGGGAGCAAAAATCTAGAAATTTCTTTAAAAGTAATCTTGTCTGAGCCATAAAGTGTCATGCATAGATTTCCAAATATATCTCACTTTATAGCATAAAATGATGTGTTCATATAAACAATAATTTTCTCATACTCTGGAATTTTCTTGCAAGTTCAATGTGCCGAATCCATAATGTGTTTTACATCATGTCAATGGGATAATACTCTTGAACTATACTGTTTCTTTCTGATATATAATTTCAACCTTTGGCTTTCCACATACCCATAAACATCTCGCTCACACACCTGTCACAAGAGTGTCTGCATTTATACTCAATAATATTCACCTGACTTCTGAAACAAGAAGCTTTAGGAGTGCACAGCTGCGGCATTCCTGAAGCTAAGTTAAAATATTGTGCTGCACAAGTACAGTGCAAAACTGGCAGAGGAGGCAGGGAGGGTGAGTGAAAGGAAGAAAGACATCATCAGACTGCTCTCGCTTTGCAGTGCAGCTACAGGGGTGGCTTCTAAGGACTTCCATGGCAGTGTGCATCTACACGGAACTGTGATGACCATCAGTGGCTGAAAATAAAGCTAGCATTGAAACAGATGGGGTGAGATCCCACCATGTCACCAGCCGCTCTCACTACTAAAAATGCAACAGGAAGGCCTTGTAGGCTGTTTCAGCATGCAAATGTGTGGCAGATTTCCTCCTGACTCTTGTGAAATATTCTCCCTGCTAACTTTAAGTTGATTGGTTGAGTTTGGGACAGCTTCTCAGTTTGTTTCCTTTCAAACTGCCCCACATCCCTGGTGCAGCCTGGATGTAACAGAAGCTTCCTCAAAGATGAGGAATCGCTCAGCTTTTGGCAGCAAGCTTCTGGAAGACTGCTGCTCCTCTGCCAACGAACTGAAATCCTGACCAAAAACTGTGTGGAACAAAGAGATTTCAGGTGAAGATTGGGTGAACTCTTTATTTTATTTGCTCATATATTGTAAGTTTCTTTACAAAGCTCACATTTGTAAGTATTGCGAACTGAGTACCATTTTTCTTTGTGTTGCTATGAAATGATCAGCATCTCCTTGTTCTCACAGCCTTGGTAGGGGTGAATCCTGAGATGAGTTTTAGTTCATTGTAAAACCTGAGAGTCTATTAAGTTCCAGTTGCTGTGAGGTTTTCATACAAGAGGATCCCACAGCACCCTCCACAAATCATCCGTGCAGAGAGCAGATGGTGGTGCCACTCACTTGCTACTGGCCCAGAGCAGATTTCCAGAAGCAACCTAATAGTAAAGAATCATTGCTGCCTGCCAGTCCCTGCACTGCGCAGTCTTCCCAGGTAGGACTGACAGTTCTGGCAGATGCACAGCCTTTGCACCTGCCCAGTCCTTCTGGAGAAACAGAGCTTTCACAGAGACATATTTCAGGAAGAGTTTTAAATAAATCCCTAGAATACTAATGAAAAGAAAAAAATGCACTCTGCGTTTAAATGCCAGCCTCCCCTTCTCCCACCACCTTGTGAAAAGGAGCATAAGAAATTAATAAAATATGGTACTGGCTTGCTGGTATCTGAGAAGTAACTCAATATCACTTCCCCTTCAATACATAAGATCCTATGAATTGCTGAATCCTGGTCTTTCAGCCTGCTTTGTCTATTATATCTCTTTAATCTGTGCACAGTCTGCATTCTCCTTACTCAGCTCCATAGCCAGCACTGTGATGTTGTGCCAGGAAACGTCCTCCCGGTCCAGAGGTCTTGCAGTCATCAGTGCTCCTGAAGTGATGTCAACATAGAAGAACCTCCCTGGATCACTGCTCCTATCAATCGAGTACCTGCAAGAGTATACATTGAAAGCATTTTGTAACTCCTGTGAGACATGATAGCAGCCTTTCGATGTCTAAAATGGGGCTATAAGAAAGAAGGGGACAGATTCTTTAGCAGGGTCTGCTGTGTGACAGGACAGTGATCTCAAACTAGAGGAAAGGAAATTTAGGTTGGATGTAAGGAATACATTTTTTTTTCTTACAATAAGAATGGACACAGGTTGCCCAGAGAGGTGGTAGATGCCCTGTCCCTAGAAACATTTAGGTCAGGCTGGAGGGAGCTCTGATCTCGCTGTAGGTGTTCCTGTTCACTCCAGGGGAGTTGGACTGGATGGACTTTAAGGGTCCCTTCCAACTCAAATGATTCTGTGATTCTATGTTCAACAAAGTACTCCAGCAGTGGGAATACTAGGAATCCTATATAGCAAATCCACAACTCAGCTGTGTGCTCCAGTGACTTGTACAGGTACAGAGCAAGACACTTGAAAAATGAGTAGTTTGCATGGCTAATGGCACGTAACAGCGAGAACTGCTGGGATGGAGATGGAGGACAGGAAGATTTAGAGGAAGCAGCCTCAAAGCAAGACACAGCTCGGTATGGGAACATCTGCTTTACAGAGAAAATCTGTCAGTGAGGAGTGCAAGCTCTTTTTCTAAGCAAAATAATTATACCTTTCCCTTGGGCACAGTTCAGACTGTTTGAAAATGACTTCACACCAACTCCCTCACTAGGCACTTGGGCTGAGGAGGAGGAACCATTCCCTTGCTCTCGCTTTTACATTCTCTCTTCCTTCCAGTGGAATTAACTCCATTTGAACCCTGAACTGCCCTACTGACAGAGCCACGTCCTTTCAAGGGGTGATGTCAGGTTTTCCCATCAGTCATCAAGTTTTCCTTCAGCAGATGACAAGATTGGAGGCAAAGACACGTTGCAGGGTGTGTAACATACTCAATTATGTGCTTCAAATACTCTTACCACCAGTTCGTACCAGTCGCCTTCCTAGCTAATTATTTTAACATGGTAAGCTAATTATGTTAACATGGTAAGAGATCCTCTGGCAAAAGCTACCCATGTGTTTATGCAAATGCCACAGACTTGAACAGAGCCTGGACTTCTTCGCTCTTGGTTCTTTCTTCCAAGTTGATGGGAATTGAAAGCATTAGTCATAACAGATGCTGAGCAGGGCTTGCTGTCTGAATTTTCTCCTTTCAGCGTAAGTGCATTCACTGGAATGAGAATGCCAGCCCGATCTTCATATAGTGATGCATTAAGCTGGGATATAAAGTACTGTTAGGTTATGCTGTTTCAGAAGAATGAAATAGGGTGGAAAGGCAGGCTTGCTTCCCTTTCACTTCCAATTCTTTCTACCTCTTCTTAAATAAAGAAATTTCTGAGGAATTTGATTTATTTGGGAAATATGTACGAGGGTTGCTATATTTTGCTATAATAATTATTTTTGCATGAGACTATAAAAAGAACTTCCCTCTGACAGTTTAAGGCCAATGAGTATATGAAATTGAATACGGCCTTGTGATTAGTGGTGCAGTATTAATCACTGGTGTCAAGAAGCACAGGTGGAGTCTTAGCCTGGATTCTGCATGTATGTTGTCTCGTTAATAAGGCCTGCTCCTACATACTCATTTCTATTGTACTCTGGAGGTAATCCTCCTAAATTCCCTGACAATGAATCATGGTGTACTTCTAGCAATTGGCAGTTTACAGTGTGGGTGTCCGGAGTGCTGCTGAGATATGACCTGACTCCAGTAATTGACAAAACGGCCAAAGGACGTGTCAGGTCTCAATTTTAATTTCAGACATATTCCATCTTATGTAATGAGATAGGTATCTGGGATCCTCCTATTTTGTTTTACCCTGTGCAAAGTGAAATTTGTGCAAGCCCAAAACATAGCCAGACTGATACAACACAGAGTTGGTGTGGATGGAGGAAACCACATTAGAGGCAAGTAGTAGGAGAAGCAATACTTGACATTTGCATTTTAGTTAGCATTACAAGTGCTATTCAAATAGTACTTATTCTTTTTTTTTCTCTATCTCAGTCATTCACATTTGTATGTATAAGGTGTGGAGGAAGAAAGAAAAAGGAAAGAAAAAGAAAGGAAAGTGGGAAGGGAGGAAGACGGGAAGGAAAGAAAGAAGAAAGGTGGGACAGAAAAAAGTTATAGAGGAATCTTTAAAGTGTATAACGTGTTTTTAAATATCCTTGGCAATGCCTTCTGTGCTTTCTAGAGTGCTTTTTCATCACAGGCAGCCACTGGAAAGCTCTCAAGAAAACTAAAAGAAAACTTATTAGAAATAACAACGAACACTGCCAATACTCCACAGAATTATTTCAATACTATTTAAAGCAGATTAGCACAAAGCTGTTTGTGCTGCAGTGTCTGGATAATGCTAGACTGCAATCAGCAAAATAGATGCAGGCAGAAAAAAAGTTTAGGGTAATGAAGCTGTGCTGCAGACAGTATAGCAGTTTAGTTTTACTCAATAATTTGAAACAATGTCATGAGAAGCAGGATAGCTTTATAATGTAGGTAGAAAAAGTGGGTATATTAAGTAGAAGAGATGAAAAACTTAATTACAGCAGTAACACATCAAGAAAAACAGTCTTTGTGTCTGCTTGCATCTCTCAGCTGAAGCCCATAGAGTTGCTCATATAGACTTCCCTTTCTTTGAAGACTCTCAGTGCTATGACTCTTTCCAGTATTTCCCAGTTACTGAGTACAGATAGCTGAGTGCAGACTATTCAGAATCCAAACACAGGTTCAGGGTCAGCACCCAAAGCACTTTGCAGGTGAGAGGAGCAGCTGACCTGCTGGGATTAGTAACTTGCAAACACCTGGAGCTTCTGCAGGCAGTGAAAACCAGTATGTGGTTTGGCCTCAGAAAAAATCAGTCTTCTCTGATAAATTGGGCTGGTTCAGCAGCAACCATGGAAAACAGTACACAAAAGCTGCCCTTATGGCTCCTTTCTGAGTTGTAGCTCTGCAGCTCCCAGGGCTGTAAATACACCTTTTACCTTCCATAACTCCTTACAGGTACATTTAGTTCTGCAGCTTTGACCAAACACTATATAATTCAGTGGCTCATGCGTGCTCATTAGTATGCGTTCAAACTACTCCAAATGTAGCTGTGCACTTGAGCTGTGGACAAAGACAGGTTGCAAATAGCAATGGTTATGAAACAGAATGGGAAGAGAGAAGTGAGCTCATTACTTTCCCTTCAGTCCTACAGCAGATTCTCAGCAATGCTGTCAGTTTTGTTGTCAGACTGTGCCAGCAAAAGCACAAAGGTCTGGAGTTTGTTTTTAATTTACGCTGTCAGGGCTTGCCTTGACCAGTTCATGGCAATGCTAGCTATGTGTGCCACAGAAAAAGCAAGGGTGAGCTCCTGCTTTGCTTTGCCAGTTGTAACCAGGCCCCTTGTAGTATGAGATCCTGTTTGATTAAACTCACTGATGACTTTAACAGGTTGGAAAGAAGGAGTCCCTCCCACCTGTCCTGCATCAGCCCCATCGCCAGTCCATCAACCAGAGGTATCAGGAAACACTCCTGGGGGACACAAGAAGAAAATACAGACCTGATTGAATTGTTGGTCACATCCGGGTCCTTGGCAGAAATGATCTGTATGGTGGCCCCAATCTCCACATCCTCAGGCACCTCCACAAAGTAAAAACTGGGCTCGAAAACAGGAGGCTCATCCACATCCTCCACGCTGATGTGGACAGTGGTGGTGTCTCGGAAAGGACCCAGGTTCAGGAAGCGCATCTCCAGGTGGGAGTTGGCACCTTCGACTTTCAAGGTGTAGCTTTTCTTGCTCTCAAAGCTTAAAGGCTAATGAGAAAAATCGTATCTATGATTAGGCTATGATATCACATGATTTATCACATGATTTAGTCCATATTTTAATCTTCAGAAGATGCCCTCTCACATAAGCTAATTCTTACTGTAAATAATAAATCTCTACAATGAGCTTTATTCACAAGGGTAATAAAGATTAATATTTGCAGGTGGAAACAGAGCGCTGAGTGACAGCTGTACTGGCAGTGGCAATGCCTGCATCTTGTTTTTAATTATTTTTGACAGTTGAACTGAAAAAAGTCAGTTTGCAATATGTATTCATACTGCAGTCACTTTAAAATGTGCATTCTTTCATTCTTCTTGCTATATTGAAAACAAGAGTGGCTGCACCACCCTGGTATTGTGATTCACATTTTCATTCTAGTCTGGGAAAAAAACAGAAGCGAAAAAAGAAAACCAGGCAGAAACAGGTAGTTTGGAAGCACCTGAAAACAGGCAAAGATGTGAGGAGCTGGTTCCTCAGAAATGGGCCCTGGTGGCAGTCATGACGAGGAGGTCCCAGAGCATGCATAAGAAGAGATGAGTTTTATCTGTTAGTACTTGCGTGAACTTGATTTCCTTTCTAGATAAAGTTATTTACTTGGGGATCCAGGGTATGGAAATAATAGATTCTGACACTGAAATTTTCAATAAATAAATCTTTAATTTCCCTCTATGCTCCTTTTCACAGATCCTGAATTAAATGGAGCTTCTCTAAAACCTGCTTGGATTTAAATGGACAATTTCATATTTAATGTGCAATTTACCAAACCCAATAAGAGAAAACATGACAAGAATGACTGCATGGAACTTTTTCACCAGATTAAGTGCAATTTTTAGAGGACACAACCATATTTTTCCAAGCACTAGTCAGGAGTTACAAGCAATCATACAGGGATTAAATGATCACAGCCCTTTATTTCTGTATTTCAGGGAGCATTAATGTTGAAAGCCAGCACAACTGGATCTACTTAACACAGACTTTCTAAGCAGGACAGACTTTGTACCAGGGAAGAAATGTCCCCATTCTCAGGGTTGCACAGTGGGATATCATTTTTGGTACAGGGATGGCTTTCAAAATGTGTGGCTGCATTTGTACAAATTGGAATGCTGTATGTGGAATGCCATGCACTCTCAGTTCATTCAGTCTCTAGTAAGACCATTCTTGTTCTCATCCAAAACCTTTGCTTTTTCCTTTCAGCTCTTTCACTTTGAAGACATAAGACTAGATAGGGCAAGGAGCTGGACAAGAAAATGGAGGCACAAGCAGATGATCCAAAACTTACTTCTGCTGCACTTAATTCTCCTGGTGAATCAGTGGACACGGCAGACATAGCACTTGTCAGCAAGAATTCAAGTAGATGTACAAATATATTACCCATTAGTATGGAGTCATTATGCTCTACCAATTTGTATTAATGCATTGTAAAATAGCAATAAATATATTCACAAAATCAAGCAATAGTTATTGTCCATCTGGCAAGAAGTGTGCAACGCAAAGCTGCCTGAATGTGTATCAGGAAGGAGGCCATTCTATCTCCTGGATTCTCACACGAAGAAGACCATGTGAGAAACACTGCACATAAACCAAAAAGCTGTTATAAAATGAGCACTCAAATCACAGAAAGACTTAAAAGCTATAAAATCCAACTATGTTAGGAAATATTTGCCTAGGGTGCTCAAGTTAGGAACAAAAAAAAAAAGAAAAATTAAAGCCGTGGCAGGCCACCACATTCTGGGCTCAGACCACCTCAGTTTGCTTTGGCCTCCTTCATTGCTGTGGCTTAGACTTCTGAGCCTTCCATGTACCTTCTGCTTTGGATGCATTCTAACATCTTTCCAACATGACTGCGTGAGGAGGGCAAGAAGGCTGCCTCCTGCTGAGCACACAGCTGAGAGGAGAGATGCCTTTTTTTTGAAAGAATTCATTCTGGTGTTAGAAATTCTCTCTCCCTCTTTCCCCTTACTGTGATATTATTTTCTAACAATACCAATTGCATGACAATTTTTGGTTTTGGTTGCATAGCTCCAAAGGACGACTTCCCAATGTCTGGCTATTGATGACTGCAACATTTCAAACAGTGCCAGGTATAGATCACATTCTAGAGACATTTATATACAGTGGATGGATTGAGCAGTGTGATGTCGGTACATATCCAATATGATTGATGTCATAAACTTTTTATAACTGCTTCTGGTACAAAGTAACATCTAGTAAAGCTGTATTTAGGATAAGCGAAGTCACACTAACTGACATATGTACTCCACATAAACTACTTCATCAATAAATAAGTGAAAAATTCCAGTAAGGTTTTTATAACATTTATTTTGTTCTAGCAAAGCATTTAAGCACACACTTAACTTTAGGGCTTAGTGCACATAAATAAGAGTTGGAGAGAAGTGACCATAAATACATGCTTAAATGCTTTGCTGTAGGGCACAGAGACTTGCAGGGTCAAATCAATCCCAGGTGTACTTCCATTTTAGCATACATTTTTGTCCCAGGCTATTTAAAGGGAGTATATATTCTCTTATTAGTACACCAGACATACACTTACTCAGAAATATGGTTACAATTTCGTAACCTAGAAGTACTTCTTGCACTTATGTAAGATTGTAGAATAAATATCCTGTAGCAGGGAGTCTAAGCAGAAAGGTCTACTCCGTTCTCTATAGCCTGCGGTACCGAGCACTAGCAGCTTCACAGCTGCCATTTTAGAAACAGCTTCTTCCAACCTAATTAGCATTTATGGATCTTCAAGCAGCAATTAAAAAAAAACACTGCCTTGGTTTTATTGGTTTATAAATAATTCTAAGTCATGCTTTATTATTGTTTGTGGGACACCGGAGTGAAAAATGTGTATAGTTCAAATGCAAATATTGATCTAATTTCTTGCATTGTAGGATAATTAAGCTACAGAGAATATTTAAATAGATAAATAGCGAATCTGAATATTCCTTTGGTGGGGAAAGACATGTTTATGCTAGCACTGTCCCTGCTTTTGAAAGGCTGCTCCTAGGAATGTGATCTGCTTTCATATTTTAGCAATGAATGTTAAAGAAATGCTGTTTTATAGCAGGAAAGGGGCTACTGCCACGCAACGGGAGCCAAGTTACTACACGCATAGGGGAATACTGCACACATAAAGTGTAACCAGGACCACTAACTATAAATTAATACAAAAAGGAAACTTTACTACCTTTCTCACAGTTATGATGCCAACTTGGTAATTAGGATCAGTATTAATATCAAAGACATCCAGCCCATCTCCATCCACGAGGCTGTATTTCATCTCTGCGTTAATGCCTTCGTCCAGGTCTTTAGCAACCACGCGGCCCACGGTGGAGCTGACAGGAGCAGACTCCAGCACACTCATCTGGTAGTGCTCTGCCACAAGAAGCAGGGAGAAACAGAACAACAAGCTGTGAAAAGGAGGCAGAAACTGCATGCTAATTCAAAAGGTGCCTCAAGATGGGCCATAATACCCCTAGTCTGATGGGAATCAATATGACCTTTCCCAGAGTGGACACAGCACAGTGTGATCGCCTTTAACGGACCACAGCCAGACTGAGTTGCCAGGGAATGTTTGATGCAGGTGTTTGTCTTACCAACAGGTTTGCTCACAGGGTTCTGTTCAAAATAGCTATAAAATCAAAAACAGGAACTTCAGATGGAAAAAATTGAGCAATTAGCACAGGTGGTGGTGCAGCTATTATCTATAGCAGGATATGAAACATAGTGGGAAAGACATACAACTGGAATAAGCACACAAATGCTGAGCACCACGAATCCTTCACCAAGTCTGCACAAACTTGTACAGTGCTTTGAGAGTTCAGAAGCTTGACTGTTCCTTCTCCCAAATTTAACAGTTGCTCTACTCAAATGCACCGCCTCTCTCTACAAACCTGGCCTTGAGCACATTTAGCACATCACTAATTTGCTTAGCAGCTAAAGAAATAACTGCGATTTTAGAAGTATGCATTTTAAAACTACATGTTTTAAAAATATAAATGCTTTTTATAAAATACAGTCCTGCCATCCTACTTCATGTCCAAACCATCCTCGCTGCACTTTCTCTGTCCAATTATTGTGCTTTACAAGGCAGACTAACACCAAGGGTAGGGTTTGATTTGTTCTCATTTTCCTTAATCTAGGCTTTGATATCAAAGTTACAATTCATGCCATTTTCCAAACAGGATTGGTGATGATGTGTTCAGTAAGTTGTTCTCAAAGGAGAAGAAAAGTAGAAGTTGATGCTTCTTGCTAGTCTTTGTGGAGTGTTTTGATATATCAATGCCACATGCAGAAACAGATGGAGAAGAAGCAGAGCAACAAAAAGAACTGCAGGAGCTTTTGTTCCTCATCCAGATGAGAACAAAAGCAAAAATAAAATAGCTTGAGAACTGACCTATGCCACTAGAAAATTGACTTTTTTTAAAAAATAGAAATGTATCGTAGGTCCTTTGGAAGATTTAGTACAGACAGATCTGAATTTTTATGTCTGATTTTTAAATGCAATATAGTAGGTAAATTTGACCTAGAATAATTAACACACACACAAACTAAAGAGCAAAAAACTGCAAATCTTGCTTTAAGACTTTGTAAAGACGAAGCAGTGTTTCTGCTAAGAGTGGAGGTGTCTGTTTTCAGATTCCATTGACTGTTGCTGTTGCGTTGCTTATGGTTTAGCTGTATACTGCTGAGGTTTAAGGGAATCTTTACTAGAGAACAGCCTGTGGGACAGCCTGTGTGACGCCGACAGCTCAGCGACCAGACGCTCCCTGCAGTGGCCTGGCTGCGGTGTTGAATGAATTATCTTCCAACTTCCAGAACTGTCACATGGCCCTGATCTGACAGACAGCCTTTTGGAGATAGGACTAGGAGAGAACCAGGGCAGCTATTAGCAGCCAAACGCAACGGCCATGAGCAGCCTTGGAATAGCTCTCCTTCTTTCTTTCTTTAAATGTTGTCCTGTAAGTTAATTTCCTACCCTGTGAAAAGCAGGATGCTTTTGATGATTTTGGCAGACAGGAACCTTTACTGAAAGACAAACTATTGGAAGCTTCGTTTTGGTATTTTTCTGAAGGAAAGTTCCTCCTTTGATCTGAAATCATGCTCATCTCTCGTTATTGCCACACCAAGTTTGCAAATAGCTGGAATGGGACCAGACAGCAGTCATGCGGCGCTGCCCTTTTTGCCATCTTGACAGGATGGATACTCACTCTGTGGAAATCTGGGTGGGTTGTCATTGACATCAGAGAGCGTGATGTTGACTGTGGTGGTTCCAGCTAATCCTCCCAGCTGTCCGCCCATATCCTTGGCCTGGACAATCACTTCGTAATACTCTTTTGCTTCTCTGTCCATGTTCATCAGAGCTGTCCTAATTAAGCCTGTGAGATTGAAAGGGGAAGTGGTTTGGGGAACAAAGGAGACAGCAGTTAGTGCACAAATGAGGCAGGGTGGTCCTGCTTCTGCAGTGTGCTCCCTACACAAAGCATCAGACAAGACTCTGCACTCAGTCTCACCTTTGTTGGCACAGTAAAACTCACCCAAATTAAATCTAGGTCAACAGAAGGCATGAATTTTAAAGGAGCCCGGTTAAAACGCATCAGATGTGGGGCAGGCTGTCCATTCAAAATTAAAGCGCTGCCTTCCACAGCAGCTGGACAAGGACTGTGGGAACACAGCGCGCTACGCTGAATTATGGCTGTACTCAGGCTAAAAAAACTCTGCATAAAATGTAGAAGTAATGGGATCAGAGAAAAAATACAGAGGTTTCCAGGCTGTCCTCCTGCACAGAGTCCTTGGGACGAGCTGACTGAAGTCCAGTAGACACCTAGGCCTGGGGCAACTAGAGTTTGACCTTGAAGGTCTTTTCCTACTGAAATGTCCTTAATTCTACGGGAAGGCGGGGGCGAGTAGGGAGGGGAGGTTGGCCGTCGCCCTCCTCGGGTGACACTACTGCGAGCGGACGTGAGGTGGCAGCAGCTCTTCTCTTATGAAGGTTGCCAGCAGCCGACTGGGGCAGGACGCGTTGCCGGACACTGCGGCACCCAAAGCCATGGCTGCACTCTGGAACACATTCAGGGTGTCCCTCCACACGGCCCCCTCAGCCCCAGGCACCCACCCTGTCTGCACGGAGCAGCGTGCAGGGTGCTTGCATCAGGGCACTGCCAGCTGCAGTGACCTCCTTTAGTCTTTATTTTTAGCAGGCGAGCAATGTATGGGTTTAATAAAAATGCAGTAAAAAGATATTGCATTGGCAATTATCACTGAATGTAAAAGGAAAGAAATAGTGACCAGGACCAGGCAATTCACAGTGCACTATTTTAATTTTGCTGCCTGGAGTCCTTAAGAGTCTCATCCTGCAAAGGTGAGCAACTCCTCAACTCCTCAGTAATAGAAACAAGATGAAAATGCATAGCATTTTGGAATGTATTTTCTCTACAAGCAAATATTTTGCTGAGAATTCCTCCTCCTGTCTTGTCCTTGAGAGAGAGTGAGCTAAATCTAAAGAAGAAATCAGCACCTGCATTTGCGGTCTGTGGTCCAGCACACCAACCCTCAAAGCCATTCAGATTCACACATGCCCTCTGCTCCCAGCTCCCAGGTCCCCCTTCCTCCAAAAGGTTTGGCTTTTCTGGGAACGCCCAGCACATAATTGATTTGGTTTTTACAAAAAAAGGAAAACACAGGTTCTACAGGGCCCCTCCACCTGGATACACAACCTCGCTGTGTAATGTTTGGAGGAGCGGCCACGCACCTCCTCCTGCTGCTGCACGCAATTGGTTGGCCAAGGAACGCTGAGGATGGTGATGAACCTTAAGCCTTCTCTATGGCTATAGGAAGGACTCAGATCCTCAGATTCTCCAAAATCAGGTACTGGCACTATTGCTTTTAGCAACTTGGACATGGCTCTTAAAAAATAGTAAAGAGCAGAGACGATGTCCTTTCTGTTCCATAACAGCCAAATAGTTTCACAGGATGTGAGAGAATCAGGGACCTTTGCCTACTGCCTGATGGGATTTAAATCCACATCTTTAACCTTTTAGGGGAATTTGATCATGAACAGGCTGTGAAAGTCCTCTGGAAACTTTGTTCACTGGAACAGGCTGCCCAGGGAGGTTGTGGATTCTCCTTCTCTGGAGATATTCAAGACCCATCTGGACACCTACTTGTGCGACCTGCTATAGGGAACCTGCTTTGGCACGGGGGTTGGACTTGATCTCTGGAGGTCCCTTCCAATCCCTAAGATTCTGTGATTCTGTTATTCTGTGAAAAAGGACAGAGGCTCTTGGCCTTTCTTTGAATTGCTTTGCATCTAGGTTAATGCAAAATACATGAGGTAAATGACAGAACAGGGCAGGAGCAGTGTTCTTGAGCAAGGCCATGTTGGGAGATGAGGGATAGGGAACCCAAGGGCTGCTGCCAGAGGAGTGCATTGAAATGGCGTGCACACTCCTAGGTGCTTTAATCATCAGGCATCACTACAAAGGAACTGGTGATTGCTTATGCTCTAGCTCTGCTTTTGAAGAACATGAGACAGGCAATCACATTTTGTTCGTTATCAAATCCTGCAGGCAGGTTTGCATTGGAGAAATTGGTTAGAGTCCTGTACCTGTGATGTGGAAAAAATAGTTTCTGGATGACAAGTGTCTGGACGACAAGTGTGTGCACCCTGAACGTTGCACAGAGGTTGCTCTGGATCTCATGTCTAGAGATCCAGGTCTAAGTGACTGGGAAATTTCTAAATGGAGGAAGAGGATCTTTTCTGCTAAAAAGCAATCAAGTACATGGTTTTGGACTAAAAGGACTTTTCTGCAGCCTAAGTTGCACTCCAGCTGTTAAATCAATACTGGATCTGAGGCAGAATGTTACCTCTTTGCTTTCCTAGAAATCATTCAGTACTTAACAAAAATGATGATTATGCCCTTATTTTTCTATGTTTGATAACCTGATTACAAAACAAACGTTACTGCTTTAATTGAATAGCATTGAGCTGGTTTGCACATTGTCTTTGGATAATACATCTGCTAACCAGAAATTGCTAACTTTCAGTAATGGATTACAAAGTGATTTTTTTTTCCTACTTTGTCCCCTAAGGCTCAGCAGAGACTATCGTCTTATGAGTTTCTGACCTTAGCACTACAGATGCCCTTTAGAAACTGTCAAAACCTGTCAGATTCCTCCTTTGGATATAATCCTTAGGTATATACAGAAAAAGAGAGAGAAAACAAGACAGAGAGATTGTCTTGGAGATAAATTTAAGGTTATTAACAAGAACACCCTTAGGTAAAACTACTCCACGTAACTACATGCTTCAACTTGCACTTTCCAGTTCTGGTTATCTACTAGATCTGCTGAAGACATCACTGCAGTGATAGAAGCTAACAAAGATATTTACAGCATCAAACAAGCCCCATTCCTTAACAGCAGAATATGGTTGCTCAGATGAACATATTGCTGCAGAGTCCTTCTTCTGGAGTTCATTACCACATTTTTGTTTTAACCACCTCACACTGCTGTGCTGTCCAGTTTCTGCGTCCAGTCATGACGTACCTCTTCTTCTTTCTTCTTAATTTTTTTTTCTTTTATTTTTCACACTGACTTATTCCCAAATGAAATAACATACCTGTCCGAGAGTCCACAGAGAAATATGGCTGTCCTTGGAGAATGCTGTACACAACTCTTGCGCTGTTCCCATAGGTTGGGTCATCAGCATCTGTTGCTGTCACCTGAATTACAGAGGTGCCTGACAAAAAATAAATAAATTAATTAAAAAATTACGAAGACCGTGTGGGATAAAAGTACACAGTTCATATCAAAATGTTTGACAAGTTCTCCCACACAAAATCTCTACATTTGGTTCTGGTGGTGTTTGTATTTATTGCTCACATTTGTATTTCAATAGCACTAAAGGAATTAATAGGCATAAATTCATTAAGCATCTTTAAGAAGATATAAAAGAGTAAGAACTCTATGGAGCACGGGTGCAGAACTGCTGACCTAACAGCATTTTGTGGTGGTTTGCAGGGAGTTATTAGTAACATGCTACTTGTTTCTTTTCCCCCTTTCTTGCTTTAAAATGTTATCTGAAATCAGTTCAAATAACATCTATAGAATAAATCACAGATTACTGCAGGAGGTCCATGGGTGCTATATGTTGACTAAGGAATGGAAATTGTTCACAAATTCTGAGCATGAAGGGATGCATCTCTCAGATAACCTCTCTGTAGCCCTGCAATTTACGTTGTATGGACTACAGATTATACCCTGCAGAAGTACCTTTTGGGCTCTGCACAGATGCATATATTTTTCCTTCAGTCAGTTTTCAAGGTCTGCATCCTCTGAAGCTAATAATGGCATGTAGGTGATGTAATTTATCAAGACGAAGGAGAAGGTGAGACATAACTGTTTGAAATACATGAGTTTTGACTCCTTAAAATGTCAGACAATGCCTTTATGAATGCATTTAGCCTTCTACATAATGTTTTGTGTTAGAAACAAATCCAGTATTACTAGATACACACTGGAAAATAAACATGAATTCAAGCTACCTGCTAACATTAAGTAACGTTGTTTCTGAAAGGAATTTTTGAATTGGTACTTGTTTCCAGCCTTATGCCAATATTATCTTGAAGAATGAGGAGTTGAACACATCTGTAACTTCAGGACGTGATTTATTTGGTATTATTTCAGAAATAGTGCTACTGAGCCAAAAAGGAACATACCTCTCCAAAAGAAAGAAAAAAATCCAGTAAAAAAGAGTACTTAATGTGACTATTAGAATTGTCACATGATAATGGGATAATGGTTTATCTTGATGTGTAGATAAGAAGGATGCTATTTGCCCTCTGGCTACACTGCGATAATGACTGTCTTTGGCATGATCTCACTTTCTAGAAGTGCAGAGCAAACAGTACTGGATCTTTGGGATTGACTGAACAGCGTTCAGTGCAGGCATACAGGATTAGAAGGTGGAAAGTTGCTAAAAATTGTCATTGTGTCTACGCAATTTCAAGGGCTTCTGGACATCATTTCAGCTCTCAGTTTGAACTTGCATTGGTTTCTGTAACCGTAATTTCCTGGCTGGTAGTGGATGTCTAATGGTCATTACTTATACTACCATCTGAGGGCAGGGGAGAAGCAGCACTACATTACTGCTAGTTGTCTGCAGGTAGCATGCTCAAACTACACCGTTCTTCAGCTCTCCATTTCCCTTTCACATTTTTCCTTTCAGAGGTGCCCATCTGATGGTGGTGCAAAGCCTACATTCCTCCTGCAGCACCCAGGCACCCCTGAGGAAGATCTCCTGCCCTGCAGCTTTTATGAGGAGCAAACACAGAGTCCAAAGAGTCAAGGAACTGATGTTTTGGAGACTGTCTCTAACCACAAAATCTGCCTTACCCACAGGTGACATTTCTGGAACAGAGGCCACATAAGGTCCATCCAGGAACTTGGGCTCATTGTCATTGATGTCTTGGATTTTGATGATGAACTCAGACTCCGGTTCCATCGGCCGGCCTGTTCGTCTGTCCAGAGCCTGTGCTCGCAGGGTATACTGTGACCTTTCTTCTCTGTCCAGTCTCTGAATAGCATGAATGTCCCCCGTGGTATCATCAATTGTAAACACGATGCCAGCTCCCTCTCCTGAGAGGATGTATTTGATGGAACCATCTCCTCTGTCCATGTCGGAGTGGAGCTGTAGAAAGGAACAGGACTGACTTAGAGCACGAGCAGGGCAAGTAGCTTCCAAAAGATACTGAGCACGTGAGCATTTTGGTCTTACTGAACTTTACAGTGAAGGAACAGGCCCTGTGCCTCTTTCAAATCTCGTTTAGCACAAGAATTATCCTTTGCTGGGTTGCAGTAGCCATTGAAAAAGACTCACTGCCAGAGAAGGAGAGGTCAGCAAAAATATAGACAATGCTTGTTCATGGAGGAGAGAGATACTGCGGGGGTAGCATAATATCAGGCAGATGAAGTAAATCTCTTTGTAACCAAGGAGAAAGGAGGATGGGAGAGCTACTCAGTGAGTGCCATCATTCAGACGTCTTCTAAAGAAAGTCCCCTGAAATTTTCCCATGAAAAGCAAGAAAAATTCAGCTGGACCATTACGTCTTCAGGAAAGAATTACTGTCAAGCAGTAGGTAAGGTAATCAATGAGGAACGTTTCATTGTGTCTGCTGTAGGATATATAGATGAGAGGTATCCCAGAGATTCTAGAGAATCAGCAAATGGATTTATTGCATGACTGCTAATTAGTTCTGAGCAGCCACAGATAGCTGGGAATGCAACAGAACAGAGGAAAAGTAAATGCTGTGCAAATTATCATCTGAAACAGAAACAAATCATCCCAGGGACTACCATTCTGTTAAACACCTGGTTCCTCTGAAATACTGGAATGACAACAGAGCACTTAACTTCCATCTGAGCGCTTAACAGTATGCTCATACTTCCATGCTTTTGAGGAATAGAGCATAAAGTCTTGACCAGTGCCCAGAGAATATAGAACTGTTTCAGTCCTAACCAACAGGGTGGTGTTAGGAGGTGCAACAATCAAAAGGAACTTGAAGGAACAGCTGTGGTGTGAATGTTGTTTTGAATTGTGATTATGGTATTTGGAAATGAATAAAAAATAGATAAAACAAAGCAAACCAACACCCAGTCATCCGAGTACTTAGGTGGCACGTTGACCTTTAACAATTGCCCTGACAACGATTGTTAAAGGCAGGAACCCATCTGCCACAGCTAAGCTCTAAAGTGCTTGTGACAACTGTCTTGTCAGGTAATTGATACTTCATTTCATCGTTTTGCTCACGGTCTCTGCAGTGGCTGCTGTATCTGAGAAATCTGTATCGGGCCTTAGGAGGAATGCTGGCAGCTCTCAGGTGATGTATCAGCTAAATGGAAGAAGAACAAGCCCAGAAAAAATTGGCAAAACAGTTACGTTTAGATGACTGCCGTATGTATTATTTCTCACGCAGGTGCCAGAATTGCAAACTGGCACATCTTCAGGAAACAGCATTTTGTGATTAATTTAAAAAACAACAGTGGTTGTCATTTGCCCTAAACACTCATGGCTCAGGGATTATCACTGTCATCGCTCATAAACAGCATACTTCCAAAAGAAGGAAGCTGTTATACAAGAGTTGCTCTCAAAGTAATGCCTCCTATTTTCTGCTGTTGGCCCATGACGTCAGAGGCAGATAATGGTGGTATGGCAGTAGAGGCTGAACTTTCCCACCAATATTCTAGGACATGCTTTTGCAGTGTAATAGATGGCATCAGAGGGGCAGTCTGACCAAATGGCACCTGACATGGAAGTGTGTATGAAACAAAAGTATGTCACTGAATTCCTCCATATGGAAAAAATGGCACCCAGTGACATTCACTGATGTTTGCTGCATGTTTATGAAGAACAAAGAGTGGATGTGAGCACACTGAGGTGGTGAGTGCTGTGATTCAGAAGCAATGCCCTCATAGCAGCTGTTAAACAGTGGCTCACTTACACTGGTGCAGATTTTTACAAGTGTGTCATGCAATTTTGTTCATTGATGGTGAAATAGCTGTCAGTGGTGACTATGCTGAAAAATAATATTTTGTAGCTAAGAATTTGCTCTATCAAACAGCGTTATTTTACTCTCTGCATCCATTGTAGTTTGCATGGAAATAAATAGGAGGCTTTACTTTCAGAGTGACCTACGTAGGTTTTCAAATTGATTCAGAAGCTCCATCTTAGGCATTTGTCTTAGTGAATAAGCACACTGGTAAGTATGTGCAGCTGCTCAGATAATTACAGATGTTAGACCTGACTGGAGAATTTAGAGTTGGGTCTGATGGAAGAAAACATGTTTTGGAATATCAAGAAGTCATTATTTAATAAGAAAAAAAAAAAAAGACAAAGGAAAGAAGAAGTCACAGTGAGGGCAAAGCCAAAGGAAAAGACAAATGATAAAGAAAGAAAAAAAAAGGAAAAACAAAAGGAGCATGTTTTAAAATAGCGGATGTTCTGAAAAGTTGTAAAGACTTGGAATAAGATATTGAATAAAACTGATGAGTTAAATTACCCCTTCTGTTCAAAGCCTCGTTTGGAATGAAAGCATTGATATAGGGAGAAAAACAAGGAACAACCATGGCACATTAATAAGAATTTAGGAGTATAAGAGGATCTCTGTCTAACTGTGATTTGTTAAAAGCCTCAACCAAGGTCTCAGTTAAGACTGGGCAATAAGAAATGCTAGCAGCAGATTTGTAACTTCTCATATAACCTGAAGACATAGCAAAAAAAAAAAAAGAAAAAGAAAAAAAAATGAAAAAGAAAAAAGAAAAAGACTTAATAAATGCAGACTGTAATAAATCTGAAAGAATGAGGTGTCCACAGAAACTGAAGCTCACACCATTGCAGTGACAAACCCAATATCATGATGGTGGAGTGTATGTAGAAGTGACTGTACTGGAAAGGTGATCCAGCTTTAAGCTGGCTCTATTTAATGGGTGGTGTAAAAAATTGTGCTGCCATGTGGCTGGCTCAGAAGTAGGAACAATTCCAATGTACTTTCTCTTCTGTATAAAAGAAATTGCTACCTGTGCCAACCTGAGCTGCTTTTGATAAGGACAGTACAAAGATTAAGGAGGCTGTACCTGCACCTAAACAGCACATTTTCTGGCAAAGAGCACATGCACGAGAGTGGTGCTTCTGGGGGCAGCTCAGGGAAGGACTCACGCAGACCCACTGAATGGCTGTGATTCTGTCCGTGATGTGCTCTCCCATCTCTGCTTCCAGGGAGGTAACACCTGCAGGGGAATTTGTGAGGATGCATGAGAGCACTTTGTTAATATGTATTGATAGTCTGTAGAAAGAAGGCATTTTATTCGCTCATTCAGTTGCTGCGGTTCAAATGCCTCTTTTCTCTGAAATAGGGCTTAGGGAAGCTCCAACACTGCAAAGCAGTGAAGTCTGTCTCCAGTTCAAGTACTGAAGCAGTTTAGTTTGCCAGACAAATGCGGAAAGTACCTGCTGCAGCACATGCAAGGACTGTAGTTTCCCTAGTTTGTCCTACTATCTAACAGTGGTTACCTATAAGAAAGCTCAAGCCTCATATTTATCTGCGACATGGAAACTTCTGGAGCTGAAACACTTTATATAAGAATAATGAGCACTGGAGAAAAGCAAAAGTTGTACTGACTTCACCTCAGGAAGTTCCCTTTCATTTCCCTGCCCAATACTTTGCTCCATGACTTACAGGTACATAGGAAAGTACATTTTTTATAGCAGCCTTGAAAATCATATGAGGCAAGCCTGTACCCAGGGCTTGACTCAAGCTATTTTGAGGTTGCTTCAGCAGCACGTAGCTAGCCTGAAACAGCTGTACAAGAGCACCAGAGGAGCTCCTCCCTTATGAGCATGAAGTAAATATATCTGGACCAACACTGTACGCTGTTTCCATCTGCCACAGGCTCTGTGCAAAGCAGGCGGATGAAAGCAAGGCCTGGCAAGCAGGATGTTGCAGGGTGCTGTGGGTCGTAGGGGTCAGAAGAGGCTCTGTTTGTCCAGCAGGCACCCAGGGCAGTTTCAAGGGCTGGTGCTGGCACTGAGGCCCGCAGTCCTTCTCCGTTTCCGTCTAGCTCTGCACGAGATATTTCTGAGCCTGCCTGGGGTGATACGGGATGAAAAATTTCTGTCCTGCCAGAACAATTAATTCAGCCCACAGCCTCTTCCCTGCTGAACCCTTTCCTATGGATCCCTCAGGTGCAGGCGTGGTGATGGATTGTGGTAGGCTGCAGCTCCTTCCAAGGGTCTGCGTCTTCAGCTGTTTGAAGAGAGGGGAGGCCCTTCCCTCCTGGCAGCTGCTGCAGAGCTCACCCCACTGCTCTGAGCTTGGTTTAGGGATGGGAAAGGATGAGATCTTGGATCCCAAAGGCCATTTTGGCAGCACAATTCCATGATGGTTGGTGTACATGAAACAGACTCAGAAGGCTGTTGGCACAAGCTAGCCAGCAGGCTGTCAGTGCATAAGGCTAATTGGCCCTGTTAACCCTGAGGGCTAATTAGCCCTAGCTTGCCCCTACTGCGACCCAACCATGGTGTACAAAAGAGCTCACTCATGGCAGCTTGGCTGCTTATGTAGTGGACACAGACCATGAAATGCCACTGCTGCTATCCCCGTTCAGTAGAACTGAGTGGGAACAAGCTCAAGAGAACTGCTGGATGTTCCATGTTTTTGTGCTCCTAATACCAGAATTCTAAAGCAAAGAGGAGTTGAGTACTTCCAGTACTGCTTGTAGCTAAAATTCAGCTTACAATGCAAATCTGGATTCATTTCAGATGAAATTGAGTATGCAAAATAATGTGTTTGGTCATCGTTCCAAAGTTATAAGTTGCATGAAAATAAGAATTTCTTTAATCAATAGGGATCTCAAGAGCTGAAAAGTTAGGCACAGAGATGAATGAAGACAAATGTTGTCTCATTTGATGGCAATCACTAGTAATTCCACTGCTATGGGAGGAAGGAAGGAGAGCACATCTTGCTGTCAGTCACACAAGGATAAATTGGAAGGAGGTCCTTTGAAGCCAGTGCATTCATTTTGATTTATACTGGTATGACTGAAGGCACAGTTTAACTCTGTGGATTTGTAAAACGATAAATGCAAGTCCGAAATGTGCCTTTGGATTTGTGATTCTTTTTTTTTCTGCAGACAGATAGCTTGGAAGGAAAGCAATGAAATCTGAAGGAATTGTTTTCTGGCATCACTTCTTCACTTAATTTGTCATATCTACCTATATTTAGGCTGTGCTCATCACCTAGACATGTAAAATCTTATTTGCATTGTTCAAACACTTCACTACACTAACCCTCCCCACTCTTCCCAGATCTGTCAGCTCGGTTTTAATGAAATGCAAACCTAGTGCTGCCCATAGGCCTTTGAATAGCTGGTCAATACTTTGATTAGCAGGTCGATACTTTAAATAGTTCAGAGTCTTTACAAATGTTGGGAAAGAAGACTAAGGAGGATGGATATAGTGAGGTAGATTGTGATGGCAGACATTATGGGCCTGACTTACATCAGCATGTTCTTCAAGGAGCTGGAGTAAAGTGAATTCAAAATGCTGCCAGGTAGACAGGGTGAGCATAGCAGTCAATTTTACAAATGTTTGTACTGATGTATATATTCTTAGTGTGCAAGGGATCTGAAAATAGGACTGTTGTATTTAATAAGCTGTCACTCTATCCTACTTCTCTCTAGTCCACATAATTAACCTGGGGTCAAGCTGTGGTAAGAAAGAAAATACTCTGACCTCAGAGATTTGCAGAAAACAAAAACTGAAATGTCAGTATTCAAGAGATATTGGCTATTTCATTTGATTGTGAATTTCATCTTCCAGCTGACTTGATCACAGACAGAAGCATGATCACAAACACTTCCTTTCCTTCCTAATCCTCCCGAGTCAATACAACCTTGCTTTGTCTTGACATTGAAGGAGTCCCTGGAAAGATCACTGCAGACTTTCTAACACTACCTCAATTACAGCTGATGATGGTTACAGCGGATCTCTTTGAAATAGGCAAATATATTGACAGCCCCTTGAAAAGGAAATTCTTCATGGCTAAAGGTGACACTGCTGAAAAGCTCTAGGGAGCTGAAGTGAAATTAATGTGAATAGATTCTCTGCCAGAAAGAAGGGAATAAAAATGCATTTAGAGAAACTTCCCATGTTTTGCCACAGTCTGCATGTGCACAAATGCATGTATGCTACCAGACATCCTCATGGGGCAGCTCTTACCTTCCCAACGTAGAGAGGATCCGTTCCCGTGTATTCCTCCAGAACGAAGAACTGGTTCCACACCCAGCTCCTCTTCATTCGCTGATGCAACTTGTCTGACAGGTTGTCTTCTGGCCCTTCTGTGAGGGGCCTGGCACTTCCTGACAGCACAGTTGTAGTTAGGTCCATCAGTGCCCAAAAGTACAAGGAGACCCCAAGTCCAAACAAGTTCTTTGCATTGCTCATTCTACCCGAAGTCCACATCCGTATACTAGGGCTGGCTTAAAAGTCAAAACACAGTATCTTAGGTCCCTTGAGAAGAAAGCAAGTCTTGTGTGTAGTCCTTTGAAATGTCCAAGAGAGATCCTGGTTCTGAGAATCACAGCCTCCTGTAAAGTTAAAGGAAATTCATAGCAGGATCTTATTTTTCCCAAGGTAAAAGAATTTCTTCAATAGGCAAATACACTATAAAATATTTAATCTTCAATATAAAAATATAATAACAGGATGCACGCATTCTGAAACTGTGAAGAGTATTACCATATAAGCTGCAGAACTGGAACCTCAGATAAAAGAATCACCAGGACTTAGTCAGTAAATAAGAGTTCTCTACTTCGCTAACTTAGTTGTAGTGTTTCTTTGTAGTGTTGACTGGCATGAGCTAAGTGCATACTCTTAACAAATTTTTATGACCAGAAGTCCTCAGAGAATACTTAATACTGCTCACTCTGGAAATTCGTAATATCTGGCAAACACTTTTTGCAACAGGTTTTTTTTTGTTGTTGTTTGAGAACTCTGCCATTGTCATTACACACACGTGCATGCAAACATGTCTACTTAAATACATACATTGCTGCATTACCAACCTTGAATTTCATTTCTAGCAGCTGCAAGTTATTTCTGGTTTTAATTATACTTTAAACCTTCCCTGCTGCTTGAATTCAGGTTTCACACTCTGCTGCCTCCTCTCTGAGGAGCTGATTGCTGCTACAAATGCAACATTTCTAGAATTTGAATGGTCAGTTAATCATTTTATAACCCACAAAAGGTTTCAGAGTGCTGACGGTCACATGCTATTGTGTGATGTGTCCTAACACATTTTTCCTCCACCAGTCTGAAAGATCCGTTTTGGCTGAGGAATGCTGACCTCTATCAGAGGACACTTTCTCATCAGTCTAGGATCTTTTGTAGTCATAAAGTCAGATTAGTTGGTGACCTCAGTCCAGGCTATGGATTGTAGCAACCCTTTCCTTCACCATTTTGCTGGGTTTAATGATGTGATACTGCACTCAAATTACTCTTCCAAAATACTCCATACCTCCTCTATGGGACTAGTGTTGTTGCTGCTCTTTTTCAGAACTCTGTTCTCAATTTTCTTCAAGACAGATGGATTCATTAAGAAAGGCATATTAGGCTTGGAGGATTAAGAAAGTAACATACATTTCATTTTACTGCTGTTCCATAGTTAATTAATCGCTCTATCCCCTGGAAATAAAAAGTAGCAGAAGACAGCTGTCAAATATCAGAAAAAGTATTATAAACATTTTTACCATAGTATTTTGAAGTGATGGCTGAGACAATACAATGCTTTCAACAGAGAGGAGAACATTGGAAAAAATTCTAGCATCCAACTTGGTATAACTGGAGTCCTGCGACCCTCAGAAATCTCTACTTTCTGCTGAATTAGCAAATCAGAATTTAATTCAAAAGATCACTGAAATCTGAAAGAGACAGATTAATTCTGAAATACATATCCTCAAGGAAAATAAACTCAAAATAACTGTCTTAGATTGATTTCTACACAAAATGATGTTTTCAAATATAAAGCCCTGAAGGAATATGACTATACAGTGCTGCTAGCCAATAAAGTTGTGAAGCGTAACAAACAACTAACAAGTCCGTACCTTGAAAGGTTTTAAACCTAGGGTTAGGTGCAACAAAGAAAAGACAAATTATAAACACAGAACTTGATAGATCTCTTCTAAGCACAACAACTTACAGAACTGCTAGGTGTTTAGATATTAGCTATATAATACTGTTTGAAAAGGCAAAGAATAGGGATTTATCTAAGTAATGTAAGCATAGAAGGACCTTAGCAAACTGTGTATTTGCCATTACATGAAGAAGGCGGCACCTGTGTGAGAGGCAGGGGTAAGGTTCTCACTGGATGCTCACAGTCTAAGGAGTCCAACAACAGTGCACGGAGTGCTTGCCTCTCTCTGTCCTGCTAATCCTTATCTCCTGATGGCCAAAATATTTTTACACTAGAGAAAGGAAGTTGAAGGTCTTATCACGTAATAGGTACATACACCGTGTTCTTTATATGTTGTCAAGAGCATGTTTTCTAAACCAAGGTAAGGGGACATTATTGAAAACCATTGTTATACTGATGAATAAAGATGGGGAGAGGCTTCCCACCGCCTGTCTCCATGTGTTGAGAGAACTCATCACTGTCTTTACTGTGCCACTGGATGGGAAAGCAGAGAGAGACACTGGCTGAGATCCCATCTAGAGTTTTACTTTTAGAATTACATCTTTTGTACAAGTCAGTTACATTTTTCTCTGTCTGACAAAAGTAGTGACACAACATGATGAAGCATTTCCTGTGGCAATGAGAATTATATTGTAGGTGAATGCCCCAAACATGAATTGAAAACTAATGTTGCCAGTTGTCTCCTGTAATTAAATTCAGCCAATGAAGGCCAATAGCCCTCAATCAAGGTAGTACAGAGATATGAATATATAAACGTACAGAATTAACAGCATACCTGTAGTGAGGTAATAGCAGAAGAATTCTGGTCATGAGGATGCCTTTCCTGTGGATATGCATTATTACAGGTTGTCTATGAAAACAGCTTTTTTCATTTGAAGGTCACTCTGCACTGTCATGCAGTTCTGCGAGGAACCTTTCTTAAAGAGTGTGCAACACTGTGATCCTCAGCAGCAAAATTATAAAGAATATTTACTCTTCCCAACGCAATCCTACTTTAGTGTAGGGCACTAACAGTGTTTTTTTTTGTTTGTTTGTTTGTTTGTTTGTTTTTTCTTATTTTCTTTTTTTGATGCTAATACCGGAGTTTTTGGTGTCTCATTCCCTTCCAAAACGGTTAGCACGCAGGCTCAATACTACAATGAATAACAGCGTTTAATCACAAACAGTTCCTCAACCTTTGAAGCTGAAGGAGTATTACACTATTTTTTTTTTTCTATCTCAGGTCTTTATATCATACTGAAAGAATGAAAAAGACCTTTGCAAACTTCTGGTGTGTGGTGCTGTTGATCTCTTTGGTCCTTCTTATACTCAACTTCATCTACAGTTGGTCCTTGGCTCTGCAAGAGATACTATTTTTCAAGCAAGGTATTTCTCAGATAAAAGCAGTTATGTACATATAGGGCTTGAATTGCATAGTTAAAGCCATGAATGACTGGGTTTTTCAGAGGACTTGTGCAAATGGCTTCCTCACCTGGTGAGTGTGATGAATGAGTGCAGAGTCACCTGGACTGTAGCTGTGGCACTTGGCTGGATTGATAGCCATATGCTCTGACTGCACTGACTTGGTAGGGTCTCTAGCCTTATGTGGGCCTTAGAGCTTTTTGCCACAGATGGATGACACAGACATTGAGGCAGTCTGTTCTGCCTCAGGCAGGGTAGTTCTTTGCAGGAAGATCAAGGGAATCGGTCATACAGGAAGGCACTTGTTGGCATAACTGATAAAGACCTTTAATGATCTCTTAATTTATTCCTTGGAGCTCTCCAAAACAGGTTCTTAACTATATCTGCAAACATAGAACTTGATGGACTTCTCCCCATTATATAAAATACATTTTAGAAACACGTATTTCATGGCTCAGCACAGGGATGAGCAAAGGATTTCAAAGCAGTACTAGGAGAGAAATCTTATTTTCCTTGCTCATACACACAAAAAACAATTAAGCCTAAGAAGATTGCATGACCACAATGTGCAGTGTATTTTATTTTTCAAGAAAAATTAAACGTGTTTCAGAACCCAGTTTGCTACTCACAGTTGAGTACCCTATTGTAATAAGCTTAGCTGCATCTGTGCAGTTTAGATCCCTGACCCAAAGTGAACTCCTTGCTTGCCCCTTCTTTTGTGATGAATATTTGATTACCAGCTCAGTTGTTTAGGTTACTTTCTTTTCCTGTACTTGCCTTGAAGACATTGTTGAAAATCCTTTTCCTTGCAACTCAACAGTTACAAATATGGCTTTTGGCTTTATAAAGACCCATGAAGATCTAATTGAACCCCATGCAACTGGTGGCCTATATATAACGCAGAGGAACCATCTAATTGTTCTACACAAAAGAGTCATGAGGCACTTTCCACTTTTTCAAATACAAATCTTTCTTTTAGCACATACTATGCAAGTAAAACAGGCATATTCCAAGTGTGAGATACTGTTCATGTCCCATTTTTAAAGGCTCCACTACCCCTCCATACTTGTACTGTAATTAAACTTCTTAATTGAATACCTAATTCTGGTCAAAGATGAAAGGGAAAAAGAAATATGCACCAGAACCAACTTCTAGCATTTCTTGCAAGTGACACATTTATCATGTTAATTCTGAAGAGAACAGCACTTACAAAGAAAGGATAAAGATATTAATAGTTAGGATAACCATGTGAGCATGCAGAGAGTTCCACTGGGATTGAAATGTATTGTGCTCAATACATATTTACATAAATGCCAAGGGTTTTATAGTTAAAAAGCTGCAACTTGAAAAGGTTTACACGCACACTTAGTGAATTTGCCATCTTGAGCAGGGAGTCTCCCAGAAAGTCAGTGGAATATTGGCATTCATAAAACTAATTACACGCTTACATCCTTTATCCCTGGTCTTTTAATGGATTTTGCTGTATGGACCTAGCACTCGTACAGAACTCATGCACCCATGCAGGCACATCCCCAGAGCAGAGGCAATTCATTTACAGGAAACATACTAAAATGAAAAATGGGGAAGAAAGAGGAGATAGCTTTTAAACTCCTTCCTCCACTTTATCCATACATAAATATACAAATACGTGTGATATTTTTAATATATGTATTTAAATGTTACCTCGCAGTACTTATACTGCAATAATAATATGTGAATGGAAAATTATTTCTGTGCTTAATGACACCTTTTTAAAGAGTTGTCCCCCACTATTTTACCGAAAGAAACCAAACAACTCTAACTCTAAACCAGTAGGAAGAAACTGAAGTTCAGTGAAAAGAATTCTTCAAGTGAGCTATTTACTTTATTCCTTGAATTTCTTGTGACATTCTGAACCCAAGATGGGGATGAAAGTGCTGTTCAGTTTTTTCCCTCATCAAATATGTTATTCTTTTATGTTTTCACAGATTACTTCTTACATTTCCTGTACCCTTA